TCTTCTTCTTCTTCTTCTTCTTCTTCTTCTTCTTTTTCTTCTTCTTCTTCTTCTTTTTCTTCTTCTTCTTCTTCTTCTTCTTCCTCTATTTTTCCTTCCTTCAGATTGTCGACCTCTCTCATTTCCCTCTTCTTCATTGAAAGACAAGTGTTTCTTTTTCTAGCGTCAAACACTCGAAGAAAGATTATCAGAAGCMAGACAACAACTTATCGACGCAAGAGCAGGTTCCAATGACAGAATTAATACACTTGGATCGCTGGTAAGTAAGAGAGTTATTTAACTACATTTATAGTACTTATACTATAAGCGGCCATCCTCGGACTTTCCGCCTAAATATTTGAAGTTAAATTAAACCTATTTTACGTGAAAACAMGCACATTTTTGAGCAGAGATTTGCATTTAACTCGCTGTTAACAGGCTACTTTTTCTTTGCTATATGACCAAAAAGTCCTAACAATCGCGATCCAGGTATTGAATTAGTTACTGAGCGCACTCGCCCATTGCAGATAATATTTTCTCCCAACAAGTCTTCAATATTTCAATATTTTGTGGTTTTACCGTCTCAATTGGCTTACATAGTTATTTCACGGATTTTCAGTTTCAATGTAGTGTGTAATATGTGCTATCTAATGTCACAGGTCAGTACTTTGAACGAGAGACTTGAACGAAAAGACACGGCTTTAACAGAATGTAAGCGGATGCATGACCTTGAAATTACTTCATATAAGGAAAAGGTAACTCAAACTTTATTATGAAAGTACGTTAATTGCTCTCTTGCTTTGACGCTTAACATACTATGACGTCATTATGCGATAGGGCGTTTGTGATGCTATTTTTCACTAATGACGTCATGTTTTGGCGAAGTGCAGATGGAATGGTGCACTTATCATATATAGCCATTTCAAAAAAGGTTGTCGGATAAAATGGCGAATGTCAATGGTCGAACGGCGATTGCACTACCGAAAGTAGCCATGGGTTTTGATAGTTATAGGCAATAACAACTGATTTATACTGTAAGATGGTCTGTGGTAAACATTGGCTCCATTTAGTCTCCATTTCTATGTAAGGTGAATCCAATGAGTGAAATTTTGTTTATCAAAACAGTGTAACCATAATAGCTTTCGGTCGTGCAATCTGCATTCGACAATCACCGTTCGCCGTTCTTTCCGACAACGTTTTTGAAATAGCTTTATATTGGCGTCACATACGTCAACTTTCAAAGAGAAAACAGAAAGCAAAGCACTTGCTGTCAGGAAATATATCCCTCCTTCYAACCCCCTTGAAACGTGCTCTGACGTCATTATGCTATAAGTTCACCAAAGGGCTAAAACTCGCCATTTCTTTTCCAAAGTTTCCCCAATTTATTTCATATTTCGATTGATTGGATTTTTCCTTAGATATCGAGTTTAGAGGATCAGTTATCATCGACAAAACACCTTCTACAGGACAAGACAAGTGGATCAGAACGAATACAAACACTGATCAAGAAAGTACGTATCAACTCTTTTCAACCATCTGGGGCTGGTGGATGGAGGGTACAAAGCGTTATCCACCTGATAAATCGACCTTATCTAGCGGATAAAATCCAATACAAAATATTTGGACTGGATAACTTTGCCCAACGTTCATACAGCTGGCCCCTGGTTTGAGAAATGAAAATTGAATCAGGCTTGTTTTCACTTGTTTCAGAATGAGCAGCTTGAGCGGGACCTCGAGCAAGCTCGACAAAATCTTCACGGTAGCAGTAAATCGGCAGACGAACAGATCTCGCACATGGAAACGGAGGTATGATGAAAGAGAAAAACTTGCACCACAAAGAGTCTATAAAGCGTAGTGTTTAAGGGTATTTGACGGGTTAATAAAAAAAAACTCATCGACTCTTATTGCACCTTGACTATCAAATTTTGTTTCATGGCTAAGGCTTCTAAAAATGCAAGATCTCAATATGTTTGCAAACTTGTGATTTTACGTCTTTAGATTCATCGACTTGAAGAAACGCGACTACAAGAACACAACGAAGTACAAAAACGAATGGTAAGCATTTCTTCCTTTTATTAATGCCCTTCACAGCACAAGGAGTTTTTTCTTGACGTATTTGTCTGTTGTTGACCAAGGAACGCCTCAGTGAAATAGAAAAGGAATATTCGGTACGAACAGACCACTACAAACTACGTATTGCTGACCTTGAAGAAGAAAAAGAACACTTACAAGTAAGGCACTGTTTACACTTGGTGTCTGGGGCACCCTTSCTAGGGCACCGACGCTAAAGGCGCCATATTCAAAATGCGTCCACTCTCTGTAATGGCTTTAGTGTCCGAATTTTCGCCACAGCGCAAGCAAACTTCACCCGCACTGACCAAACTTACAGTGTCTGAAGGCGTTTGAGTGTGTACATAAGAATACATCAATAATGGCCGCGGTCAAAAATACATGGCATATACTGTAGTTAATGTAGAATGGTATGTCATTTTAGGGTGAACTCGATTCTCGGACGGAGGAGCTTCGTCAAGTGTCGCTTTGTCTTGAGGACGCCATGACAAGAACGAACGAACTAAAAAGCCAAGTATGTCTGTAGTCTTCATTTAATCGTCACACATTCGTAACTCATTCGTAGTCAGTCGTAACACATTCGTAGTCCATTCGTAACAAATTCGTAACACATTCGTGTCCATTCGTAACTCGTGTATTCATCTTGAGCACGTTTGTTAGTCGTTGTCGTCTTCGTGGTTTCTCTTGTTATCACTTTCCATCTCATGTACTTATAGAAAATTAAGTGTAGAAAGAGACGTAATCGGAACGGAAGGTTTCATTTGTTATTCCAACTCCTTCACCTCTTTATTCACAAGCTTAGGCGTTTCCATCAATCCATCTCTTCATGCATTCATTTATTCATTTATTTCGGGGTTTTTTAAGTATTTATTTATTTATAGATTGGACGTTTCGAGGAAAATCTAAAAACCAAAGACGACTTGATGACAGGTTTAAAAGATAAGGTACGTACGACAAAGATATCGGCCAAATATATACAGATACTTCAAAAACTGTCATAGAGAATAGTGCTTAGAAATAATCGAATTACTTTGTCATTTTGTTGCAGGACTCTGTAGACCCTTATTACCTATCRATGAACAGTGCAGATGCCGTGAACGCGTTGCGAGTTGACCTCGACAACTTTAGAGTAAGGACACACTGCAACCACTCAACCCGCGATTAACATAATGGTGACCCCTCCCCTCTTATGACGTCATGCAATGTTCGGCGAGGTGCACTGTGGGATTAACGAGACAAACTGGGGCCATGTTGAATTTGTCTTGCGAACAACAAATACTTCGTAGTTTCTCAGACTGATCTTTGAGTAGTCTGCCATCTTGATAATCAATCGATACCATAATGCATTTCGCCGAGTCAAACGTGACGTCATATGGGGAATTTTGCAGTTCTTGTTACAGACACCCCTCATTTGTATGTATTAGATAATCGCATATAATTTGAAATTATCTCGATTTTCCCAGAACCTCCGATGGAAATTGAGGAGGATCTGGGTCTGGGGAAGGGGAAGGTGTCTCTTTAAATGTTTTTGAATTTTAATCAGTTTTGTATTTTGAATTTYAGATGCGATGTAAAAAGTCTGAAGAAGCCCTTTTAGATAGGTACAGTATACTCATATATGTTAGTCCAACAGCCCTTGTCAGTTATAAATGATAAAGTACATGTTTAGCTATGCCTTGGATGTGAATAGAGTGCACGCCACATAAGCATGAAACAATTCTCAACTAAATAGCGCCTAATAGGACTTACTTATCAACTAACTAAGAATTTAGTGATGCATAAACAAAGAAAATTCATTTCTTACATTGTGTTCACGTCCCTGTGAATTCTTAGTTAGTTGATAACTAAAGATTAGTTGTTGATTGTTAAGAATTGTTTCACGCTTTTGTGGTGTGCACTCTACAGTAGAAAAGTTAAGACTTCTGAAGGCACAATTTTACTGTGGTATTTTATATAAGACGTTTCGTCTTTGACGGTTCCATCAGTGAATTATGATAATATATAAATGATTATTGTTGACGTATAGGCCCGTAGGCTGCCTTTCAAATGGTGGGACCCCCCAGCCTACGGGTTTGTGACGTTAGAGCACGCGCCTTTCGTTTGACTACCCAGCTATCCACTATCATCATCTTAAAAAGACGATTGTGAAAGTTTAAAGTGCATTTCTGTTTCTTTTAATCAGAGAGAAGACGATTTTACAACTACGAAATACACTGAAAGACAAAGAAGAATTCATTAACCGTTCGACTACAAAGGTAGGTGGATGTCATTTCGATGTTGTTTTTGGGGAATAATGAGCTCATTTCTGTATTTTTTGATGTTATTAGCTAAAACAGTACGAGGAAAATAACTGGCTGGCAAGAAACGATAAGATTTATGCTTCGGACGCAAGAGGTAAGTGGCCATTGTTGGTTCCAATGCACCTTAATTGGCAAAGGATCGTTGTCAGTCCAATCCCAATCATCATCATCATCACCATTATCATTACTGTTGATTTAGATTAATAATAATAGT